GTATATATTTGCTACTTTGAGTGGAAGTCGGATCTTCTCACAGATCGACTTTACCGATGCTTATTTGCAAAGTGAGGTAGATGAAAAATATAAAAAAGTGCTAACGATAAAAACATGCAGAAGTTTATATCAGTATTGTCAGCTACCGTCTGGCATAAAGTCGGCACCGAGAATTTTTCAACGGATAATGGATAGTTGCATCAGGGTTTTTATCGATTACATCCAGCAACTTAACTTGTATGGGTGCATCCGGCGGTTGATTGCAGCCCGCATACGAAAATGAGGCATTTAAACTGGCCGCCAATCAGTCCTCCTAGAGCAAACTTTTCGCATTTTTTATTCACAATTCCTACGTTACGAAATCGTCAGCTGCTTGCTTAGTTAATTTCAAGCAATAATATCTTCTTTTGAATTGCGAAGTTTGTGGCCCAAATAAATTCATTAGCGTGGTTTCCGTTTCTGCGAACGACAGCTGTCTAGGACTTTTTGGCAGTGTATAATTAACGTATTTGATATGGACTGCTGTGCTCAGTTTTCGTAGTAAAAGTCTGGTTTTAGCAGCATCACCTAATTTTGTTCCATTTACCGCGAACACATCTTCGAACCTTTTGTACCAAGCTTCAAATGTAATGCCGTCCTTTTTAGTTTGCCTGAGCCGACTAGCGGGACTGCGTAGGCTTTGTGACCTGTGATCAACCGCGTATAAAAGCACTTTTCCCCAAACTGTAATGTGTTTTTTTCCTTCCTCAGACCACCCTGTTCTGGAGACCACCCTGCTCGCCACATTTCATTTGTTCTCCTGTTGTATGTTAAGTATTTTGTATAACTTTAGTCTCTTGCTTATAAACATACAGCTACAGCTAGGTTTTGGCTACACATACACAATCCATCACACATACGCACACGCACGTAGGGCACGCACACTAGTCGGACCCACAAACTTTTAAGTCACAGTATGGTGAAGGCTGTCCATTTTGCTGTTTTTGTTACTTGTCTTTAAATCTAATTCGTTATTTGTTTTTTCTGCCCCAAGTAAGTATTGCTGTTCGTAAGCTCAGCATACTAATCTTCAGGTTTCATTTCTTATGTTTCCTCCATTCTCTTAATTTCCCTTCACATGTCTGGGGTCGTTTTGTTCGCATTGATCGCAAGTTCATTCATTAGATTCTGCAACAATTGTGGATTTTCTGCGATGGTATCTGCTTAATTATACTTCATTCGATAACCAGCTGTGGTACTGTCGGGGTTT